CATCCCTTTTAATGTTGACAGATAAAACCAAAAACATGTGCTTGGGGTGTTGAATTGTTTTTTATGCGAGATCTTCTGGCTATGATTTTTTTGCACATCATCGAACACGTCCAATAGGTTGCATCAAGCTAAAGGCAGTTTTTCTCTCCTGGACCACGGGCGCCAACCCCTGGCCCCATCTTGGTTCCGTTGCACTGTGAAGCTCTGGCAATGACATCTCACCTTACAGTGACTACCAAGGGATCCAGGATCCAAAAGGGCATCGACGGTGGCTTGACGTTGAACAAGCTGCTGCAATCACTAAGTTGGCTAAGTTGATGTAAATATTGTATATATACTTGCAATCACTAGGGCTTATGATAGTGATTATATCCATACTTGGGTGGATGTAAAAAATGAGGCAGAAAATGTCTACTGTTGCTTGGAGTAAAACAAGAGAAAGATCAGCCAATCTTAGATACCATTTTCGAAAATATTGTTGTTCTAAACTGGTTAGTTACATATCAACATGAACTCATACATATATGTATATATATATAAACATGTGTGTGTGTGTCATATTCATATATATACATATATGTCATATATATATATACATATCATGTGTATGTATATATATATACATATCATACATATATTATACTTCATATATGTCATATATGTCATATGTATCATATGTGTCATATGTATCAAATGTATATATATATATTGTTATATATCATATATATATATCATATATGTAATATATATATATACACCATATACATATATATATATATCATATATATATGATGTATATATATCATATATGTTATATATATGATATAATATATATATATATATTATCAACATTCAGCAACATAATTATATCATATAGTTATTGCAAATAATGCAGCACAATATTAGTTGGTATTAAACTACTCAATCACGGCCCCGTTGACGCAGGGTGTCCCCGCGTTCGATTCCAGAAACCACGTTCGCGTCAGCATCAATTCGCTGGCGGTTCAGCAGAACCACAGGCCTCGCGTGCAAAGAATAGAATGTCACAAGATATCAGAAGATTATATCACTGGTTGGTGGTTAATAATAATGGTTAATAATGGTTAATAATGGTTTTCATATACTGTTATATGTTAATATAGTTAATGATGATGGTTATTATATGGTTAATGATGGTTAATAATAATCTGGTTTGTGGGTTCAACCCCTATGAAAAATATTAGTCAGTTGGGATGATGACATTCCCAATATATGGAAAAATAAAAAATGTTCCAAACCACCCACCAGTATCATATGATCTCTGGTTGGTAGTTTTTACCAACTAAGGTGGTGGTTTTAACCATGAAAAATGGAGATTTAACCAATTTAAGCATGAAAAATGGATCTGTTACTGGTTGGTGGTTTTAACCATCTTGAAAAATATGAAAGTCAATGGGAAGGCTTATCCCATATATTCTGGAAAATAAACATGTTTAAAACCACCAACCAGTAATTATATGTTCAGATGATATGTGAGAAACTATGACAAAATAAGAGTCAGGATGGGGATCACTCGAAGTAAAGTAATTCTCTTCCCAACTGTCTCCCTAGAACGATCAACACTGCGATCTTGGCTGATGATGTAGGTGTTCCATCGAGCTTTCAGCTGGTACATCAACAAAGTGTTTCTTCCTTGGCTTTAACTCTCAAAGCCAAATGAATGGGGGACAGGATTTGTCAGCTAGAATCTAGAATCTAGAACACAAAATGCATGTCAACAGTGTTGAAAATTTATTCCAAACTGTTCTTGATGGTTCAATTCAATCCTTTTATTGGTTGATATCCCATGTTGTAATTGGTGTTCATTTTGCTGGCCAACTTGCCATTGAAGAAGTTACGTGGTCTCGATCAAAATCACATCAAGTTATGGACTCTCAGTTTTTGGGATGGTTTGAGGCAAAAATGGACAGGCTTTTTGTGCGTTCATAGTTGTTCCATTTGAGCTCACCATCAAGCACTTCATGGCCAATCTTAGATATATACTTTTTTTGATATCCGGTCCTACATCACTAGCTACTTAGTAGTAGATTTTTCCTTTATCCAATACAAATTTCCCCAGGGTTTTAAAATTTACCTGGTAAATGAACAGTACCCTCGAAATGACCAAGAAAAATCCTGGAAACTAGCCTTCCAACCCCCAGGGTCTATGTTAATATACCAGAGCTAGCTGGTGGTAAACATTCACAGTTTGCGAACTTGAAAATGGCCCAGTCGAAATAGTTGATTTACCCATGAAATGGTGGATCTTTCCAGTTCGTTATGTAAACCTTTACGAGAGGGTAACTCCCATTAAACCCTATTAAATCCCATTAAACCACCATTAAATCCCATTAAATCCCATTAAATCCCATTAAGACACCATTGACTCAACCGGCCCTAAGCTGGAACCCGTCTCAGTGCCTCCAGGACGGTTTCTGCTTCGGCGAAGCAGACGAAGCGGACGTGGCCGTCTCCAACTGGA